GTATTTTTACAAAAGATAAACAGTTGATGTAGAATTGTTCGCGGTTGAAAGCTTTTTGCTGGTCGCACAAAGTTTACCATGGACGTCAACGTTCTTTGAAACCTTCACTGTCACAATAATGGTGATACTTAATTCAGCTGTGGAAAGAACGCCTCTCTCGTTTGTTCTCCATTCTTCCTCTAGCTTCTTGGCTAACAGCTGACTTGAACAACATATGATGTTATGCCGCTGACCTGCTGCTCAGTCGCGCATTCACGTCATGGATGGTGCGTTCAGTAACGCAGCGTTACTTGGATTAGTAACTGTAATAATATTACTGTTTTGAAAATAGTAATCTGTTACACTACTAGTTACTGGGAAAAGTAATATTATTACAGTAAAGCATTACTGAGTAACATATTACTGCCCAACACTGGTTTTTAGTGATAGACCAATTAATTGGTTGGCTGATTAATCGGGCCGATATCTGGCATTGGCTGATACCTGCACTCACGAGGCCAATAAACAAAAAATGTTTTTCTCCCATCCTAAATGATAACTGATCTCTAAAACCTTTACTGGATATTTTTTTGTGTGTGGGGGTGTGTGTGTGGGGGGTGTGTGTGGGGGTGTGTGTGTGTGTGGGGGTGTGTGTGTGTGTGGGGTGTGTGTGTGTGTGGGGGTGTGTGTGTGTGTGGGGGTGTGTGTGTGTGGGGGTGTGTGTGTGTGTGTCTCTCTCTCATATAATTAGAATATCATCAAAAAGTTGATTTATTTCAGTAATTCCATTCAAAAAGTGAAACTTGGATATTATATTCATTCATTCATTCCACACAGACTGATATATTTCAAATGTATATTTCATTTAATTGTGATGATTAAAACTGACAACTAATGAAAATCCCAAATTCAGTATCTCCGAAAATTAGAATATTACGTAAGACCAACACAAAAAAAGGATTTTTAGAAATGTTGGCCAACTGAAAAGTATGAACATGAAAAGTATGCGCATGTACAGCACTCAATACTTAGTTCTCCTTTTGGCTCCTTTTGCCTGAACTACTGCAGCAATGCGGCGTGGCATGGACTCGATCAGTCTGTGGCACTGCTCAGGTGTTGTGGCCTTCATCTTCCTCTTCACAATACCCCATAGATTTTCTATAGGGTTAAGGTCAGGCCAGTTTACTGGCCAATTAAGAACAGGGATACCATGGTCCTTACACCAAGTACTGGTAGCTTTGGCACTGTGTGCAGGTGCCAAGTCCTGTTGGAAAATGAAATCTGCATCTCCATAAAGTTGGTCAGCAGCAGGAAGCCTGAAGTGCTCCATAACTTCCTGGTAGACAACTGTGACGACCTTGCAACTCAGAAAACACAGTGGACCAACACCAGCAGATGACATGGTACCCCAAACCATCACTGACAGTGGAAACTTTACACTGGCCTCTCCTCTCTTCCTCCAGACTCTGGGACCTTGATTTCCAAAGGAAATGCAAAATTTACTTTCATCAGAGAACATAACTTTGGACCACTCTGCAGCAGTCCAGTCCTTTTTGTCTTTAGCCCAGGCGAGACGCTTCTGACACTGTGTCTTGTTCAAGAGTGGCTTGACACAAGGAATGCGACAGCTGAAACCCATGTCTTGCATACGTCTGTGCGTGGTGGTTCTTGAAGCACTGACTCCAGCTGCAGTCCACTCTTTGTGAATCTCCCCCACATTTTTGAATGGGTTTTGTTTCACAATCCTCTCCAGGGTGCGGTTATCCCTACTGCTTGTACACTTTTTCCTTCCCTTCGCCTCTCTATTAATGTGCTTGGACACAGAGCTCTGTGAACAGCCAGCCTCTTTAGCAATGACCTTTTGTGTCTTGCCCTCCTTGTGCAAGGTGTCAATGGTCATCTTTTGGACAGCTGTCAAGTCAGCAGTCTTCCCCATGATTGTGTAGCCTACAGAACTAGACTGAGAGACCATTTAAAGGCCTTTGCAGGTGTTTTGAGTTAATTAGCTGATTAGAGTGTGGCACCAGGTGTCTTCAATATTGAACCTTTTCACAATATTCTAATTTTCTGAGATACTGATTTTGGGGTTTTCATTAGTTGTCAGTTAAAATCATCAAAATTAAAAGGAATGAACACTTATGTATAATAATATATGGAATATATCAGTCTGTGTGGAATGAATGTATACATTATACAAGTTTCACTTTTTGAATGGAATTACTGAAACAAATCAACTTTTTGATGATATTCTAATTATATGACCAGCACCTGTATATTGGGTGACTTTGTTTCCTTCCAAAACATTGTAGAACTGCTGCACTGTTGGTTGTGTCTTTGATGACACTGACAAAAACAGAGTATTGCTGGCCTTATTCAACAAAGAAAAGCCTGTGTGCTCAAAGCATCACTCTTTTATGGCATTGGAGTATTGTCATTTGGTACACATCCAGCATGTTGTTTAAAACTTTTTACACAGAGTAATCATCTGATATCTGAAAGATCATTTGAACTGCAGACAAAACTGACCCCCTTCCTACTGTAGGCTAGAAAACATCACATATGTTTGTTGCACAATCAAAAAAACAGTGATTTGGAGTGTCTTGCATTTCAGTGGGAACTTTCTGAGAATTATGAACGTGCTGTGTGTCAGATTACCTTCAGTCAATGAATGATCTCAATTTCTGTTAAGGAACAGAAGAGTACTGTACAGCCATCGCTGTGGTTAATCCCAGTCACGTAGTACATGACTCCCAAAATTCACTTTGCAACAATAGCTCAGTGATTTAAGAACTAGAAAGGCAGCTTCACAATGAATAAACAAAAAGCGTCAAGTAAACTGGGCTTTCCCAACCTATGAAACCCTAACGTTAAACCCTACGTCTTAATATGATGGAACATTTGTAAAATAACCTGTCAATCTTCCAGTATCCTCGATTAGCACGTGCAGTGTTGAATGTAATGGTCACAGGCTTCAGCACAAAACCTGACTGCCTAACTATCTGCTGCTGATGCTGCAAGCAAACTTAACTCATCATTGACGAGCACAGTTTACATTAGCAAATGAGCTAATGTAAACCCATCTACCTACCTCTGCGTAGGATGGTGATTGGAGCAGTGCTGGACTGAGAGTTGCTGCTTGTTGCATGAGTCGAAGTGATTCTGTTACTCTGACCATGGCGTCCTGAAGGTATGGACCCGGCTTCTGCTGCGGCTCCCTGGACAGAGATGGGCTTGTTGACTGTATTCTGGATGTCTAGGATCTTCAACTCCTTGATATCCATGGCACTAGAAGACAAACAAATTACTGACCTTAGTTGGAGCTCAAACAGCATTGTATTGATGTACAGGAAAATGCACAGCTTCTCACATGGTTCCTTGTCACTGCATAAAGCTTAAAATTCAACAGATTTTTAGCCATTTATTTTCACCCCACCAAGGGTACACAATCCTCTAAATGTGATTATAAATAGTTAAAGCCGAGTATATGGCAGAATCTGAATGCACATGGTGTTAGACAATTCTGCTATAGACTGATATGTTTAATCCAGTTACACAAGTAATGTAGTAATTCCTGGATCAAAATGAAATACAAGCATTTGACTTGTGAAGCCTCCAACGCTGTCTCAAGAGAACTGGTTAAATCTGGGCATTTCCTGTTGAAGGATAAGATGATTTGTCATCGTCCTGTCATCATCTTCTTTCTTACCTGAAAGTAACCTCAGGAACAGGACACCTGATCCCATTGTGATAGGGCTGTCTCAGTGAGATGGTCTGGCTGGCGTGATCCACTGATGACACCTCTCCCTGATAAACTCCCAGAGTCAGTCCACAGTTTATCGACACAACACTCCCCAACCAGTCAGTGGCCATTCTGTTCACCTGATCCTATGGTTCAAAAACATAAACAAGAGATAACCTATAGCAGTTGTTACAGTTACTCTAAAGAAAAATGAAAAGGATTGTTTAGAGCTCTTCTTTCTGGTGTCTCGTCATTTTTTTCAGAGGGGTGAGGACTGCTTTGGGTATAAGTATTTTTTAAATCCAGGCTATGGTCCTAATTTCAGCCCTGACTATCTGGTACGGAACAATAAACGCAATCGCATAAACCCAATTGAATAATCTGCTAGATCATTGTTGATAATAGCATGGGCGAATGTCTTAACCAGCACACTTTAATTAGAGACATTAGACATTGATATGGCATTCTGTTACACTCCGGCCCACTAACGTTATGTACCTGAGTTTAGTTAAGTGATTCAAGCGGCCACCCTGTAGTGTAAATTAATTGGTGAATTAACGTTAATACTTGCACCGGTGCAGAGTAGACATAGCGATAAAATTAATTTAAAATTGAAATTGAACTGAACTTATGGGATGCTCGGCATATTAAAAACTGGACCCTTAAATTAGGTTTTACCTGCAGGGCTATGTAAAGTTACGGAGCTTCGTGGAAACATTAGCTAAGTTAGCTACCGTTCATTTAAAAAGTTTTTCCATGTGTTGCGAGAGCCTCTCCAGGGTAGAATTGCGTATTAAAACCTTGGGGCGGGAGACAACCTTAAAATAACATCCATATGAGGGCAGCGTTCTGAGAAATATACGGACAACCACAACATTTAAGGTTAACAAAAACAACCTGAAAGCTGTGCTGGGCAGCTAACATTAGCTTCGCTCCTGACAACCCTGTTTGCTTTTTATCCAAGCGGACTTTTGTAAACTTGTAACGAGTGCTTACTATTTTTGAATACTCAACCTGAGTATATTCAGTCAGTGATGGAAAGATTTACCTTGTCGATAAATCTGCAGCGAGGTGTCGAGGAAGGCCAAAGCTGCAGCAGCTGTTATTTGTGCCGTTTTCCGGGTGGACCCTAACGTCACTTCCGTTATCTCCCACGTGGGTTTGTTGTGATTTTATTTTCTCTCATTAAAGTTTAAATCCGTTCACGAGAGCTCAATATTCTCTCACATATGGTGTGGGTGACTTAGTTTCCTTCCAAATCAAGCAAACAATAGAAACAAGATGATCATTACAGTATAAATTTTATTTTATTTGCGTGGCTGATTAAATAATGCTCCAATCACATGCCCTTACATGCCACAAATGTTATACAAGCACTGATGCATTAGAGATAGAAATACAAAAATGTATAGCTGTCTACTATTGTTCAGAAATCACGGGAACTCTTTTTGCATCCTGATAGTTCATATACTGTACTCATATACTGATGCACAGCAAAACTATTTCACCTCAAATATATACAAATGCTAGGCACATAAAAATTACTATAAAATACAGAGAACTTGATATAGAGGGTGTGCGTTGATGTCACTTCCCCTTCCGGAACATGGTGGACTGAGTGGCAAAATATCTGTTTCCATGGCTGCGTTTAGCAAACTGGGAGTAAAAGAAGTGATTATTTGCTCAAATTGAAGGCAGTCGGACTTGACAGTGATCCTAACTGCTTACCAAAGAACCAGTGGTCCAGCTCTTTCCCGTTTTAGATGTGTTGTTTGTGTTTTAGCTGATTCAAGCTAACACTGCTGCTTGTCTTTCTGCCACTCAGTGAGCATAACTGTGTTCTGTGACATCATGCGCATACCCTCTATACACAAAAAAACATCACATTTTGGGATACAAATATAGCTTCAGTGTCTTACATCCACATTATAATGGAATACAAATAATTAGCTTACAAGTGTCCATGGTATCAAAAGCTAGCCTAATATCTGTTCAGTTCAAAGTCCTGTGTCACAGAAGAGAAAAATGTAGTTTGCAGTGGTCTAAATTGTAATGCCTATCCAGTAAAGCATACTGTTTGTCCCAGAGTTGAACAAAGCAAACAAAACATAGTCTCTGAGTGTTTTACAACTTCTGAATGGAAGCAGTTTAGTTTACTACACAACACAGGAGAACCAAGTATATCCTTGTACTTCACTGAGTAGCACTAGTCATGTGCAGGAATATCTCAAAGGAATATACCAAAAAAAATGAGATAAGTTCATATGAACCAAGACATCTCTGACAATCTGCAGTAAGCAAAATTCACATATTTGCTTTAATGCCAGTAGCTCTGTGGATCCTTTTCGGCATCCAGTGCCTTACATTCTGAGAGAGACGCTTCTTTCACTGATCATTAAACTGACTGTGACCCATACGGTGTTATGAGTTAACTTATACCACCTATTGAGTCAAACTTTGTACATTCAAAATAGCACATTCATACATTCACTGCTCATCCCTCGCTCGCATTGTGGCTCTCAGGTGGCAGCGTTTGTGCTTCATTGTGAGACCGTATTCTGGGGTCATGTCCAGCGGCTCTCCAGGAATTGTGCTGAAGTGCAGCTTCTGGACCATGATTGCCAAAAAGAGGTAGACTTCATTTCGTGCAATGACCTCGCCGATGCAGCGCCGCTTTCCCAAGCCAAAAGTCATAACCTTCTCCCCCTCCAACTTGTTGAGTTCAGTGCCATCAGCACTCAGGAAGCGGTCTGGGTTGAATGAAGACGGATCTTTCCACAACTCCCTGAGTGAGAATGAAGAAATAAGATCATGTTAGTAAAACCCAGGTCCATGATCAATTAGTGGTTTAATCTCCTCATACTGAACAAAGTGGGTGTGAGAGGGGAATGTGGACTTCACCACATATCTTTCACCACAACTACCAATGGGGTGCCCATCTCTGAAGTGTGAATATTAAGTCAGCTATCTTCAACCATTTTAATTAAGACAGAAAGAATGTAACAAAAATAACTTACGGATCATGGTTGATCTGCCACTGATTGATGAAGACACAGGTGTCTTTGGGGATGAAGTAGCCATTCAGAGACGTGTCTTTTGTCGTGCTGAAAAAGAGGGACATGTCTAAGTCCACTATGTATTTACAGGATTCATATCACATATATTCTTTGTGATAGCTATGTATGTTGTTCGCCTTTATTATTTTTATTACATATTAATGACCTTTATTTAACCAGGCAGGACACTTAAAAACAGCTTCTATTCTATTTACAAAGACAGCCTGGCCAAGGGATTAGCCTCTTGAGGGGAGGGGGGGAGTGGATCCCCTTTGTGTGGTTCGGCGAGAACTTAAAAGAGATGAAACTCACCAGTGTGGGATAGTGAAGGGCAGGAATGAAGAATGGCGAAGCATCTCCAGGATGAAAGCCTCAAGAAATGGCAAGTTGGGTCTATCAGAGAGACGAGGACTGCGATCCACACTCACTTTGTCCTCTGGAAATGAAAAAGAAATCGCTGACTATTAGTTCAGGATGAGGATGCAGGTTGCAGTTTGTATTCGGGCCTCACATTTTTACTTGATTAAAGCATCACAGTATTTAGCATTTAACTTTGAGCAAAGCAAATTGTGAATTTCTGCAGTATATCCTATGTCATCAAAGCCATGCAATTTTCAGACCTTTTTAATTGTAATATCCAAGGAAGTAGTTTGTGTAAAATAGCTGCACTCACTCAGATCTTGATAAAGCCTTTCCTGTATCTCTGGGTAAGCAACCAAGTACATCACTGACCAAGACAGGGCAGTGGAGACAGTGTCAAAACCTAGAAGAGAAACATTAACTCTGTGAGGACACATATTTATGAAACACTGCCAATCAGATCACTCAACATTTAGAGAAATTCAACGTACCAGCTCCAAACAGGTCATTGACAATTCCTACAATCTTGTCATCTGACACCTGGACATTGGAGTTCTCATCCAGCTTCCTGTCCTCACAGTGGTCAATGAGGGAGTCGGTGATGTCACGAATGTTGTCCTGAAAGAAGATGATAGTAGAGTCTCAATGAATGCTCCATACACTGTGACTAAAAGGGGATGCAGTGTATCATTTTTCAGCAATAATTTGGAAGACAAAAGGACTAAATGAGTTTGAATAATTAAGTGCGTGGTGTACCTTGTCGAAGGTGGTATAGTGCTCGCTGACAATCTTTTTCACAAAAACGTTGAAGCGATTATTGATGCCAATAAATTTCTTCATTGTTGGGCTGGGCAGGAATTGAAGAGCAGGGATGAAGTCTGCAGGGTTACCACTGCCCACCACCTGGCCAAACTCATCACTGAGGTTCACGAGGCTGAGCAGCTCCTGGTCATTGTGGTCATACCGTCGGCCAAAGCACATGGCACAGATCACATTAGCAACAGAGACAACGATGTAGCGGAATGGGTCGAAACTGCCTTCAGCCTTCATAACAGTGTTGAGCTGTTTGATCAGATATGCTCCCTCTTTGCTGACGTGTTCCTCCAGAACGCAGGAGTACTCCGGGGTCGTGCCCTCCAGGTTGGAGAAGGAGCGCAGAGCACTGTAGGCCAGCTTCCTGCGGGCACGCCAGACACCAGCATGTTCAGAACTGAAGGCCAGACTCTCGCCATTGTTGATGAATCTGAAGGAGTACAGGTCAGGTCTGCCCGCAAACTCGTCCCCTTGCTTGATGAGAGCCTGTCGAACTGCTTCAATGCCACTCAGCACGACCACAGGACGCATGCCAATCTGGATCTGGAAGACGTGGCCGTAGCTCTTGCTCATGGCAGAGAGACTCAGGTAAGGTTTGCTGCCCATCTCCAGCACATTTCCAATGATAGGCAGGGGCTTTGGTCCTGGCAGCTGACGAAGCCCCTCAGGAATCTCAGTGTGGAAAAACTTGAGGATCAGGTAGACCAGACACACTGTTGCCATGGCCACCAAACTCTCAGATATGGACACTGATCCAATGAATGGAAGTATCATTAGCGCCATGATGACAGCTCCTTTTTTTTCTAGCTTCTGCTCAACCTGGAAATTAAATAGGAGGGGCATTGGACTAGTGAAGGCAGAGAGGAAGAGACGTGTTGTGCAATATGTTGACTACTAGCACATAAAGTTTAAAAAAGTAACTAAAGACTGTCACAGGCATGTGTTTGTTATTAATTAAACTCCATATTTTCTCATGCTGCACCAAAACATTCTTTACAAGTAGTAGACTGTGCAAAATCGTTTGCTATGTATATATGTACTGATAGAAGTCCCAAAACATACTGATTAAAAATAATAATAATAATAATAATAATCTTACCTTAGTCAGATGGTAAAAGAGGAACAATGCTGTGGTCCCAGAAGTATTTTCCAGAATACTAAAAAAAATAGTATAGTAGTGTTGCTGAACTCTCTACATGTCCCCAAAACAGAGTATGGGCTCTTGCTTTATAGTGCGCTCCTCCGCTTCATTGGCTGCTGCGTTCATGACGTAATCCGTCTCTCTCACTCTCTTTCTCTCTATCTCCAGACCGCTCATGAATGAAGTTTAGCACAGAGAAAAGGTGCGCAACGTGCGCGCGCGTGGATGTGTGGTGGTTGTGTGCGTGCAGATTCGAAAAAGTTTGAATCTTCACCAATTAAGAAATTGATACTACATTTGAAACATATAGCTACAGTTTGAAAAGTCGGTGCACAGGATTTTATGGCCTGAACTCTTTTATGTTTTATAGTCTACGGACAGATAAGACATAATAGCCATCACAGGCAAGTATCATTTCCAGCACTATAAAAATCCGATAATAATAATTGTTCAATTTAATACATGACACATACTGTTCTGCAGGTGGTTTAAATAAAAAGGATTTGCAGAAGCAAATTGATTTGGCTTTTATCTTTTGCAATAGTTGAGCTATAATGTGTAGGCTAATACGTATGTTTAATTATTATAAATGCGCTTCTATATTAAATATCCACGCGTTTACCTCATAGCCTATGTGTCAATGTTGTGTTTGCTGATACAGAAAACTTAAATAATAAAACCCACGCCGCTGTCAATATATCGTGTTACAAATGACTTTACTAAATGTTTTATATGTGAATGAACTAAATTGCAATAATAATCTTGTTGATAATTGCGGAGTTTTCATTATCATCTCACGAATTCCTGCACGCACGCGATCATTTGATGAGACAATACTGTCATTTCAAAGGGACTTGTTATCAATATTTTGGGAACGCTTGTTATCAAGGAGGTGTGAATTATTTGAATTGTTCTGGTCGAGTCTGAGAAGAGTGATGAGTCTCTTACATGGGGAAAACAGCCCTGTATTAATAATTTAAACATCAGGAAACATTTCTCCTGTAGAAATAATGGAATAGTGACCTGTAAGGGAGTACACCGTGTCTACAAGTAACAGTGTCATATAGTTTTTTTCCTTAGTGTTGGCTTTTACAGTCAGTCCTGTTTGCCTACAGTAATAAAATCAAGGTTTGGGGTGAGAATAGGAGTTTGGGACAGCTACCACAGCAACCACTCAGGCACATTTAAGTCCTGATAAAATAGTCAAATGCACTTTCGTGCTTGTACCTGTTAGTTCTCCGCTGGAGTTAAACATTGACCAGTTGCGTGAGAGCGCAGTGATTAAACACTCACCTCCCCCTTTGAAGAGGATGTTAGGGTAGCGCTACTGGAGTGCAAGGGGAGGAGTTCAATACCATTCCTCTTTGTCCCTATTTCAGCATTTTACCCAGAAAGCATTTTATAAGTAGACATTTTCAGCATTTCACATTCAAAGTATTCTGAGTTTTGTACCATTTGCTCTGCGCCATCTGGGGCATAAAAAGCACAATATCTGATAACTTCATTCGTTGTATGAACTGAGAATTGTAAAAGTTAGTAGGCTACATTTTTTAAACCTTGACGTGTGCAACAGGTGTTACACTAAAGGTCAGATTTATACAACTAGCTATCAGTTACTGCACATCGAAACGAGACTGAAATAACGGTGGAAGCATGAAAGTAGGATTCTATAATAGCCTCTCTAATTAGGCGTGCTTCTCTAATCTGCTATGTGTCTTTTTTCTTTGTCCATTGCAGTTTTTAGGCTACACAAACTAACCAGATGCTAAACTTATAACAGAAACGTCAACAGATGACCAGCAATTAATGTTATGTTAAAATACCTTACCACCAACAACAGATTTTATTTGGATTCATTTTACACTGACTGATCAGTCATCCTAGTTTAGGTCATCAACAAGCTCAATTGCTGTAATAATCTGTTTTCTTTCAGTTGGAGCTTTGCCTTGGAAAAATCAGGCAAGGTGGTTCTGAATCTAAATCTGTCAATGTGGCTTTGGGTTTTTGTTTGACTGAATTTGGACATATTCTGGAACTGAACAATTTTATTCAGTACAGCCAAGTGACAATAGGTGGATGAAGGACTGAAGTGTAACCCCATGCTACAGGATATCATTATCATCCTCATCATGTCATTTTTGTGAGAAAAAAACCCTCATCAAAAACAAAAAGGAAATCTAGTTTCTAAAATATTACTGCTACAGGGAGAACATACTCAGATTTTTATATCCTCAGAAATGTAAAGGCTCATTTTTGGAGGAAAAACTCCTGACTGCAAAATGAGCCAAGGCTCAGAGCATTCTCTCAAGACAACCACTTTATTGGTGGTGTGTGAAAGGTTCAGCCCTTTATTTGAAATACTACATAAGATAATGAAAAGGCCAATTATCTGTGAAAAATAACAATTCTGGCTATTTAAGTTTAATTGTCGTTGTCCTTCCGTAAATTATGTTTTTCTAATTAGCTATTGCAATTACCAAAATAAAAAAGAGGGATAATCACCCTGAAATCTCCTGAAGTTGAACAGAAATTATCAGAAAAAAGAAAGATAAAGCTGCCTTGCTGGATGAAATTGTATAGAGGCCATATGCTCATTAAAATGCTCTGTCTGCCAGAGGTGAGCAAGCTGTAAGCAGAAGATTCTGGTTTAGTATCAACAGATTCCCTTTAACGTATTCTGGCAGTGTGCTCAATATCTGTCTTTAACTTAACCAAGATTGATGTGTCCAAAATGAATAATACTTCGGGTTTTGGAATTAAGCCCTTTAAAAAACTAAAAACACTGTTGGCAGATTATGGGTTAGGTTATTATTAATAAGCCTACATTTAGGCTAATAGTTAAAGGCAAATAAAGAACCGCCGTGATTTGAACTCAAGTTTGAAGATAGATGTTTGTGTTTAGAAATAGGCGTAGCCTACACTTTCAGGTACTATGGCGGTAAAACCGGCAGGTAAAAGTTTATGGTTGTTGATTTAATTTGCACATTCCACGCAGCGCAGCGCTGTCCGGATCCTCGCAGACGGTGTGTTAACTCTCCGGGGACTCTCGCAGTGCGCCGCGGGGCTGCGCCTCTGGTGCTGCAGGTTGCGTGAGAAGCGGAGCTGGCGTTCAAGGGGGAGGGTCTCGGTCTTCTGGACAATCCTAAATCTGCTTGGTCAAGTCACGCGAAGGCAGCAGCCTCTGGAAAAGACACAAGGGTCTTAAACTTGCAGAACAAAGAGCGCAGGACGCGAGACTCTCTTTTTTCCCCGCTTGGGCACGAAGGAACATACTTACGCTCTATAGCTTCTGTAAATGCGAGGATCTTGGGGCTTTGGAGTCATGCAATCTGCCACTCAGGCCTTATTCATCTCAGTCATGCAACACGGTGGGGCCGGTCTGTGCAGCCACACAGGCGAGATCCCACCAAAGGGCCAAACAAGTTATGAAAGCTGCAACTTATAAAACAAGGTGAAGTAGTCACACTTTGTAAGCAGCGGGTCCGGAGTGAGCCTGGGGTCGTTGAAGAGGGTGCAGGGAGTCTTTCAGGCAAATTTAAGAATTCAAGAGAAAATGAAAACAGACCTCTAATTTCAAGAGTAGTGTTTTAATTTCCATTCATCTTTTCATTTCTGATTGACATGCAAAAATACATTTCTATTGTTAAAAAATTCTAATTCTAATTCATTCTAATGTATAATATATAAAGCTTAATATGAAAAAAATGAGAAACCCATAATGATTTGAAATAAAACAGCTATTCACCATATAGGATACCTACCGTTTCTAGTTCAGTGGACCAGAGTGAAAAAATCCTACTAAAACAAGACTCTGTCATATTCCAACAATATTCCACACTGCCTGCTGACAAATAACAATGTAGTCTGTGTGGTTCAGAAAGACATGGTGCTGATTGCACTAGGTGACATCCTGTTGTTCTTGTGGGTCAGCAGGTAAAGATAAAGCCCATCTTTCAGCAGTGTTATAAAACAGGTTAAATTTATAAACTTAATGAGGGGAGAATTTCTTGTCAGCACCGATTAATTTCCGTTCTGTGCAATGAACAAATTCTAAATCTAGCTCAATGACTCCTCCTGTTACAATATTCAGCAATCAAAGCAAAAGGTGGATCTGATCCACATTACTATTATTTAGCTTGATGCCAGTGTGATTGTGTTCGCCTGGGATGAATTTGAACCTAATTAAAGTGTGGGCTTGTGGACCACCTGAGGTGAGAGCAGGCTGCATTCTATGCAGGACGGTGTGTCACATCACAACAGGTGAGCAGCATTCACAGTCAGAGAGAGAGCAACTGTAAATGTCACACAGCTGGACTGAAAACTTTACCTCACCTTTTAAATTCACATTTTAGGGCATGTAGCCATTAGTCCTCTCATAAGCCAATCGTCCATCTCTGAATGTCAAACCCTGACAAGCAGCTGCTCCAGCAAGAAAAACAAGTAAGTGAAGGAATAGGAAAATCAAAGCTGAAGTGAGAGGGATTCTTTTTTTTCTACTGAGAGAAAAATAGGGGTTGCAGAAGAGGAAGGATGTGAAAGCTCTGATGTGAGAACCTAACTTCTTAAAAAGATTATAGAGATTACAGGCTACTACAGTAAGTGAGGAGCAGTGCTGCATGTGTGGAGTTGACCACAGTGAAAGCAACGGTTTGATGATCAGGATGAGCTGGAATGCAGAGCTGGACGCTGGCCTGGAGGTGTGCAGTGTTAGTTTGCCTGTGTCCATTTCACAGAACTGGGAGGGGTTTGGGTTGTGCAGCAAAAAAAAGGTTTTGCCCACAGCCATATACCACTTAAAGAATTCTTGGACATAAAAGCAGATGTAATGACTGTGAAGGTTGTCAGTTTCTACTCACGCAAAGGCTGTCACGCACACACCTTCAGCAGTAGGTGTGTACCTCTGTTTCACTGTGCAAGTGTCTTTGCATACCTTCGCTGTCTGGAGGTATCTTTTCATTGTGGAAGTTTTTGTGAGTTGGCGTGAGCTGAATTCACCTCCACAGGTTGTCATGAAGCAATAAAACATCTTCTAAACATGTAGTTAAAAATAATAAATCCATGGTGACCAAACCATACGACTATTCCCCAAAGTAGGTTTTAGCATTGTTTTTA